GATTTTAAAGGTAATTATTTTTGATTAAACAAAGTGAAGTATCTTGTATTGTTATAATGTATTGGCTTTAATATTTCGCTTTATTTAGTTTATACAAGACATACTAAAAGAAATAGAATTGTGCTAGTTAATATTCTTACTGAAAATGAATTTAAAGTAACTTGAGGTTTAAGATAATGAGTCCTCAGCTATATATACTTTTTGTGTGATTTTCCCTCTGTAGGTAAATGTTGGAAGCATACAGAGTCATGTTTAGCTTCTTGTTTCATAACAGAATTTTATAAAATGATAATGATTGGACCTGATAGGATGATAATTATACATTAGACTTGAGGGCCTTGAGTGTTTTACTTTTCCCTTTTAACTGCAATTGTGTTATTGTAGTGCTGCCCTCATCTTTACTAAATAAGGCTTTTGAAATGTAAATCATATCATGTTCAGAGATGCATATTGACATCTTAACTGCTGTCTCTTTTTGCATTTCAAAGGGTTGTGTGGTCATACTTTGCATCTCAGCAAAATTGCATATTTTCTTTCTAAAGATCTTCTTTAATGTGCGCTGTCAATCCCTACTAAATGGGGTTGTGTGTGTACATGCACACACACGTGGTCTTATTCCCTCACAGTGCTGTGAATTTTGTTGCAAGTCATCAGGAAACATATTTTTCCTTTTTTAATTTCTCAGCTTGCCTGAGAGGAAGGTGAAACCCAAAGAGAACAAAGACGATATGGGAAGACTACATGTGGCTGAATCGCAAGGACAATGAACGCACCAATAAGCAGCAACACTGAATGATGTTCTCTGAGTGGAGGATCGGAAATAAATTTTGAAAGACAGTGAAAACACACAAAAGACATTAAAAACAAAGTGGGATGACTGCTTTCCTTTACACGGGCACTATGGCTAAAATTCTTTGGCTGGATGGTTGAGACACCGGACACACATCTGTCATTTAAATTTGAAGCATCCCCTTTTTACTCGGCGCTCAGAAGACTTGGATAGAGGTGGGAACTGGAAGAGGCTGAATGCTGGATTGAGGAAAGAAATGGACATTAACAAGCAAACATGGAAGTAACCTAAGAATTGAACAATAGAAATTACCTCTTCAAAGGACAGGCTAGAGCTAAAGTTACAAGTTTACTGGGAGAGCAGTATGCAGGAAGCTGGTTTTCAGGCCACAAATGCGTTCACAGGTAAGGATTTTGCTTTGGTTATCAGGTACTTCTTTCAGTCTGATCTGTGCATGAAACATGGTAAAAGGCAAGACATTACATCTGGATTTTTAAAACATTACTTGGAAAATTTGCCTTCCAGAAAGGGTTATGAAGTCTTAAGTAATCAGCTAAAATGTCAGGGAATTCCTATGTTTTCCTGGTTCAGTGAGGAGACAAATTGCAGGGTAAGCAAAAGAAGGAACTTTGAATTCATAATGTGAAATGCTTCAATGCCTGGGTGTCTGTTTCTTGTCCACTCCCTACAGGTGCCAGGGCTTATCGTCTCAGGCTGAAGATGTTTGTATATGTGTTACACACATAAGTGTTTACAAGATAGTGCGGAAAATGTACTTGGCTGTCTCGCTGCCTCTTGCATGATTGCATACACATTATTTCCCTACTGCTATACAAGGAACTGCCTCCTATGACATCACAAGGGTGTGACCCTTTGTGTCATGTTTGAAAACGCAAGGAGTGTGAAGCTGCTGACCTGATAATGCTCTTTCTCAGTCCCAAATTCTGGAATATTTGTTCAGATTGCCTGGAGTCTTAAGTTTCGGAGGCTGCAATCTGTATGTTTATACTGTAGCAATCTTGTTAACACGAATGTGCCTGCTGCTGCTTTATAGACATTGCCTCCCAAAGCTTCTGCAGCCTTTGTTTTTTTGGACCAGCCAGAGAAGCTTGGGAAACTCTGTGCAATCGTATGTGGTGACACTGTAGATGCAAGTTAGAGGTCACTTGGGAAAACATGGTGGTTATACAGTGTAACATGCAGTCTCAGGGAAAATTGTTTATCTGTGGGTGAATTTGGCAGATGGTTTTAACTTCTTTAGATGTGCTGCTGTTTTTTAAATCAGTGAGGGAGAGTTGATATGGTTTTCTTCTGTGTTTGTGTGGTTCAGGATTTTTGGAAAAGTACAGAAAAAAAAACAAATATCATTCAGGGTTACATTATATCTCTCTCCCCCCCCACCCCCGGGCTTGGTCTGGTGAAATTCTAGTAAACACTACTTAGCCTTTCAACAAAAACTCCAGATGCATTGCTCTGACAAACTAAGAACAAATGTGAACTGGTTTTAAAATTCTGCTAGAATCTGTTATTAAAAGGAGGATTCCAAACAATAGGGATTTTAATCTGTTCAACAGGCCCATAGCAACATGAATAAGTATTACGGTATGTTTTCAATCTGCTTTCATAAAAACTTGATAGCATTTTACAGAAACTTTTTGAAATATTCAACAGTCTTATACATTCTTGTAAAAGTTCTGCTCCTCTCCCTCAGTCTTAATTTATGGGTTTTGTGTGTATTGTTTCAAAAAATGTTATGCTGCATATCCAGCTCAAGAACAACTCTTGGCAGACTAACCTATCTCACTTTTTTAATCACAAAACCTCTCTGGTAGATAGTGAGAATACTATAGATGTAATATATCTTGAGTTCAGCAAAGCTTTAGACGAAGTGCCACATAATGTTCTGATTAGCATATTAACTAGGCTCAGCCTGGATAGAACAATTATCAGGTGGATACACAGTTCATACTCAAATCATACTCAATCATACTCAAATAGTGCTTCTTCTCAAACTAGGATGTGGTAACAAGTGGGGGGTATCCATAAGGCTCAGTCCTCAACCTAGTGCTTGTCAACATTTTTATTAATAACTTGGATGAGGGGTTGAAGGAATGCTTATGGAATTTGCAGATGTCACAAAATTGAGTGGAATAGCTAATGCCTGGAAGACAGAAATGAAATTCAAAAAATATCTTGATAGGCTAAAGCAAATGGACTGAAAATAATGGAATAGAATGTAGGAAAACTTAAGTGCAAAGTTCTACACATGAGAAAAACAAACCAAATACACATGATGGGAGATACTTGGCTCAGTACTGCTATGAGTGAGAAGGATCTTGGAATTCTTTTAGGTCAAAAGCTGAATATGATCCAGTAGTCTGATGCAGCTGTAAGGAAGGCCAATACTATTTAAGACTGCATTTAAAAAAGTAGTCTCCAAACCCTGTAAACTACTGATTATGCTTTGTCTTGAGTATTGTGTCCTGTCCTTGATTCTGCATTTTAAGAAGGATGCCAGCAAACTGGAACAAGTTCAGAGAAGGACAAGAAGAATGATCAGGGGATTGGAATCCTAACTCTGTGAGGAAAGACAGATAGAACTGGACATATTTAGCTTTGAGAAAATAAGACTGAGGAGAGATATGATCACACTCTTCAGATACTTAAAAGATTACCATACAGAAGAGGGGCAAATTCTGTTCTCATTCAGTCCAGAGTGCAAGACACATAATATTGTGTGCAAGTTACAGGAAGCCAGATTTCAGTTTAGTCTAATGTCTAAAAGAGTACAATAATGGAACATTTACCTCATGATATGGTGAGCGCTCCAACACTGGAGGTATTTGAAAGAAAGTTATACCATCATCTGTCAGATATTTTTTTTAAAAAAATTTTGTTCGTAAGAAAAATGAAAATTGAAAAATAAATGCCTAAAAAGATTAATAACATGAAACAAGGTAAACAACATAAACAATACAATTAAACAAAACATCTCCTCCTCCACCCACCAGGAGCAATTGGACACATAGCCAATTTTTCCTCCATTTACAAAGCCTCATTTCTCTTCCAAAACTGCCTTGACTCTTTTGAAGGTACACAACCCTTCCCTCTGATTAATATAAAATCAATAATTTCCCCCAGGTATCAGTAAAAGTATTTTCATTTAACAACCTATGTTTAGTTTAATATTACACACCAGATATACTTTGATTATTTGGCTCAGTAATACAATGAGTGAGAAAGATATTGGAATTCTTATAGATTGAAAGTTGAATATGAGCCAACAGTGTGCTATGGCTGCAAAAACAGAAATGTAGTCTCCAAATCCTGTGAGGTATCAGTTCCTTCTATTTGGAATTGGTTTAGCCTAATTTAAAGTATTGTGTTTGAGTTAAGGACACTGGAGCTTTAGAAGAATGCCAACAACTGGAGCGAGTTCAGAGGAGAACAACAAGGATGACCAGGGAGATGAAAACCAAGCCCTATGAGGAAAGACTAAATGAACTGAGTGTGTTTAACCTTGAGAAAAGAAAACTGAAGGGAGATATGATTGTACTCTTCAAATACTTGAAAGGTAGTCATACAAAGGAGGAGTAGGATCTATTCTCAATCATCCCAGAGATCAGGACACACAACAATGGGGTCAAGTTAGAGGAATCCAGATTTCAGTTGAATACAGTGGTGCCTCGCATAGCGATCGCTCCTCATAGCGAAGAAATTGCTTTGCGACGCTGTTTTTGCGATCGCCCCTATGGGGAAAATTCTCCGCGATCATCGCAAGGTCCTGCCGATCAGCTGTGTGAAAATGGGGGCTTTGCAATGATCGCTTCCTTGCAATCATTGCAAAGCCCCCATTTTCGCACAGCTGATCGGCGGTTCCAAAACGGCCGCCTGCTGTTTTGCCTTGCTTTAGAGGCACCGAAAATGGCCACCACAATGGAGGATTTTCGCTTAAGGTGAGTTTTGGAGCCCATAGGAACACATTGAAGGGGTTTCAATGCGTTTCTATGGGCTTTTTAAAATTGCTTAGCGACAAAATCGCTTAGCAGCGATTTTTTATGCACGGATTAACGCCGCTAAGCGAGGCACCACTGTATTAGGAAAAACGTCTTAATTGCTAGAATAGTACGACAGTGGAACCAATTACCTCTGGTGGTGGTGAGTGCTCCAACACTGGAGCCATTCAGCAGAAAATTGGACAACCATTTGTCAGATCTGCTTTGATTTGGATTCCTGCTCTGAACAGGGGGTTGGATTCGATAGACTTATAGGCCCCTTACAACTCAAATATTTTATGATTCTGCGATTTGGATTCCTGCATTATAGGTCCCTTCCAACTCTATTATTTTCAATTCCTTCCACCCACCCACCAACCATATCTTGTATTTGTGTACCTTCAGTAGCAGCTTGATCCGCTGACATTAATAGATGGTAAAATTTATACAGTATTTGTGCTGTGAAATAACTTGATTGGTTTTTTTCTTTTTATTGAAATATGGCTTTTTCATGCAATTCTTCTTGCAACAGCAGAATTCAGGATGGCACATTAACTGGCCATTTAAAAAAAATATTGGCATATTCATGGCCGCCATAACTCTTGACATACATATGTTAATACAGTACCTATATAATGTGTGATAAAAACAAAGTACAAGGTTCAGTGCACAGTGGGAAGGAGACTTTCTACTCCCCATTCTTTGGCTTCATTTCCCCCTCACTGAGTCTGGGCTTGTCTTCGTTTATGGCTCCTTTTTCGAGCTGGCCCCTCTGAGCCTCCATCCAGTGACCAACAGTGGAGAAACCTCAAGGTTCCCTCAAAGGGACGGGAAAACATCGAGCTTGAATAGAGTTTTCCCAGAATTATGGTACATCCCTGTAGCACCAAACAAGAACCCAGAAGACCTTCACTTGGAACTGAGAGGATATGGCAGGTACCCACCTAAGGTACTCCCAGCCCCCAATCTGTGATAATCTTTGAATCTTTCCTGTTTGTGCCCTAATTTGCAAATGTTAATTTGGCAGTTTGATGGTTGCTCTGTAGCAGTACCCTTGGTCTTATCCAGCATAAAGACATGTGCCAACAGTATTACAGTTTAAGTATTGTACGTCAAATCTTGTTGTCTGGTTTCATTTGGGAATTTAGTTCTTCATAACATTGGAAAGCCTTGGGTTTTCTTTTAGTAGAGTATTTTGTATTGTACATTGTTTGAATTTCCATTTTTATCTTTGTGCATCACAACTGGTGGCATAGAAGAATCCTCTTGGATCAAACCAAAAGTCTTTTTAAGGCCAGCATTGTATTTCCCACAGTGGTCAACCAGATATTTATGATAGGCTTATAAGCAGGATTTAAGAGTATTGACCCCCTCCCATGTCTTATTTTGGATATGTGTTTGCATATGTG